TAACCGACCAATTGACCACTTCCAACAAAAACAAACCCAGTCCAACAAGCAGATGGATCCGTGTGTGTCTATGTTTCACAGACATCTCTTACAGCCATTGTTGCACATTTTGAAAGATGAACTGTTGAATGCTGCTCTGTGTCCCGTACGTGGGGGAATTTTTATCTCAAATGGCTTGTATCAATAATGTCACTGTAATACCAAATCCTAGGGCTAAAAACAAAAATCAAACGTACGTTTGGAGGACTGACGCTTGTGTGGGATAGAGGTAAAAACGCTGCTCAGCGTAGTCCGTGACCCCCAGGGGGTGATCGGGGAGCTTGCACCACCTTCCGCTGGGGGCTGAGGGGCGCTCACTCCATTGGGGTTCATGTCCTGCATCGTGGCTCTCTCTGGGCGCGGGTCCACACGGAGGGGGCTTCAGGAGTTCCGAACAGGCCTCCCTTCCACCGAGGGACTGTCCCAGGCTCACACACCGCATGATTCCTCCCGCCTCCATCCCATTTCCTACCGAGCAGGGCTTCCCTTAGGCTGCGGCCGTGGTTTCTTTCATGTGATCGTTAGAAGGACTCATCTGCCGGTGGGACCTGAGGTAGCGATGGAGCCTCCTCTGAACCAAGCCCACTTGGTTTCTCTCTTGCACTGATTCTCACAAGAAAGCAACCTGATATGTATCCTTCAGATGCTCCGGCTTCCCCCAGCGCTTCCCCTCCCAGCCCGTTTCGCTGTCTGCTCAGCAACCTGCTCCTGGCCATGGGAGCGGCTTCGGGGGAGGGCGTCCTCTCTCTCCCATCCCGCCTCCTGCGTAAGGGAAGACGGATTCTATTCGTCCAGGGGTTTCTTGTCCCGTGACTAGATGTCAGAGCCGAGACGCTGCCGTGGGATGTGTCAGGAAGTCTATACGAAGCATGAGGAGAGACTTGAGCTTGCTAACCAAACCAAAATGAATTTTCCCCGACCCTTATACTAGAGGGGGGGCGGGGAAAAGAACCCATAATCAGACACACCAATCTGCCTTGCAGTAGAAGCACTCGGGATGTACGCCACCTGGCTAGTTTTGCGTAGAGCAGACCACAGCGAGTCGGGAAGCAGAGCCTTCTGTCTGGGACCGCTGGACGCGGGCCGGCTCTCATCACCTCGCTCCTGCGGTGCCACTGCGCCCAGCACGAGGCCGAAGAGGTGACCCCGCTGACGGCCAGGACAGATGCATAGTGACGTGTACAGGTTACACCGAAAACAGCACAAAACAGAAGCTGGCATGTGTGGTTATCCTTTTTTAAGAGAACTATAAATACTGTAATATATCATTTTATTTTACTGGCATGCCTTTTTGTAAATACCAACTATTAACGGATTAAATAGGAAATGGCTTCTGGCTTATGCCATTGTCATGTTTACTTTTATTTTTTTTTATACGTTTCTTTCTTTCTTAGAACTTAGACGCTGTCAGCCAATGTACATCCCCGAACCAGACAGACAGACAAAAAATTTTTTATTGCTAATGGTCTTTTCCAAAACAACACAAATATATATTTTTGTTCCAATGTGCAATAAATTCTAACCACTTCTATGCAAGATTTGGCTACACGTTCGGAGCTGTTTCTTAGGACCCAGATGGGCAAGAGAGCTACGAGATCCCACTCGCTACCCCGAGGGCTCATGCTAATGACATTATTAAGCCACTAGAACATATGAATGAGTTTTTTTTTTTTTTTTTTCTGATATCTGGCCTATTTCCTCCCCCACAGCCCCCGACCCCAGCCCAGCAGGCTCTCTCCTCAGTCACACGCGGGCCTTGGTACCTGACACCCGTCAGCCAGCTTCACAGGAAAGAAGCCACCACCACTCTGTCTGAAGTCTCACTTTTTTTTTCCCCCCCCAGACTCTTCCCACCATCTTTTTTCCTCCCCATGGTCCCTCCACCCACCCGCCGTTCGCTCTCACTCACTCACCTGCCCTGCTCCACACTTCCTCGGTAGTAAATGACACATCACCAGCAGTCTACACCCGCAGTTAACAGGCATCGAGAGGAAAAAGAATCGGTGGTGGCGTTTCTGCACGTCTTCACGGAGTGGGTCAGTGGCAACGCTTTGCCAAATATTAACGAAGCCAATCAAAAAAGCAGCAGCAGCCACAGTATCACTGCACATATATATAAATATATAGATATATAAATATGATATAAATATTTATTTTTTGTAGCCAGGTCCTTGGTGCAGTATTTATACTCCACAATCCACCTTAAAAAAAAAAAAAAAAAAAAAGCCAAAAAGCAGAAAGACGTTCATGTAAAAAGCAGAGCCGAAGCCACCGGGCAGCAGCTGACGCGGTTGCTGGTTTGTGTGAAAGGCACTTTCCCCCTCTTTCCTCAATCTCTCTGTTACTCAGGAGGAGACTCCACAGGGTAAAGCAGAGCCGAGGGCGAGAGCAGCCACAGACGGGAGTCGGCATGTCGCACTCCCAGCCCGGGCTGCGGGAGCCCCGGAAGTGGGCCTGGGAGAGAGCAGAGGAACCCCCAGGCCGAGCCCCTGGCCCGGCAGTGCCCAGAGTGCTTTTATTTCCTGCCGCCACCCACGTGAACTTGGGCAAGACCAGTAGTGAAGGTTAGTGTGTCAGTGAATGCATGGGGCCGACACTGCTCTACATGAGACAGGACAACACGGACATCACTGCTATAAGCCAAAAAGGAGCCGTAATAAAAGATGATCCTTTTTACTCTACAAGGGAAGCCTGTCTTGCTGTGTGTGTTTGTTGCTTGACTCTCCCAATTCTCGAGTCCTGGGAGGGGCCTGGGAGTTGGGACCTCGGCACACTTGGGGAAAGGAGAGGAACGGGACAGAGATCAGGATTGCTGGCTACATTCTGGCTGAGGGGTAGAGATTGGAGAGAAAAGCAAGGTCCTGACACCTCACCACCCCCTCACCCACCTGGCATCCACCCCGCTGCATGTGTCCCCCTTCCTAGGCTGGTGCTTACAGGCCCATGAGACCCCTTCCTCACCGGTTCAGCTGGCAGAGCCCCCAGGGATGATATCAGCCAACCCCATGGGCTGGCCTTACTTCTGCCTTTTTTCACCAGTTTGTGAAAAATATCTAACCCAATGCCCCCAAGCTCAGGCGTGCGCGGTGCCCAGCAGCCTCCGCTCTGCTAGCTGTGCTGGGCCTTCCCTCCATCACCCACAGGTACGCCAGCGCGCCAGGGCTGGTCTCGTTCACATGTGTGCAGGGGTGAGGGGCACCCCTCCGCTTCCCTCGCCCTGCCCTGCTCTGGGGACAGCCCTCTGTAGGCCCTGTCCCCCGACCCAGAAACACTCTCAGGAGGATTCTGAAGTGCCCACTCTTGTCTGCTCCAGTAGCTCCACTCGGCAGAGAAACGGCTGGTAGGTCAGTCCCCATCCTCCCCGGTCCCCAGCCTCCAGGCCTGCTGTGGAGGTGAGGTTGCCACGGGTTACAACTTTGTGACTTGAGTCCTGGGCATCTTCGGTAACAATGCCTCTTTCTTTTCTCAAATGTTGCCCAAAGTTTTGCAAAAAAGCTTCGTTCATTTTCAGGTACCCCCAGCCCTAACACATTGGCTGCAGCCAGCCAGCTGGGGGGGACAGCAGGAGGGGAGAGGAGGTCTGGGTGGGCAGGGGCCCAAGGAGCCTGCATTGTGGCTCAGCTCTGTGCTTTCCTGGGCTCCCTTTCTAAGATGACCGAGATTTCCTCCATTACAACGCTGCTGAGGCACCCCCTGCCCTGTTCGCTGTACATAGAGGCTAAGGGGGGTGGGGTGGGTGGGTGTGCACTTGTGGGGTGTGTGTGTGTGTGTGTGTGTGTATGTGTGAAGAATGTATATAGGTAAAGGGGAGCGGGGTCCAGTGGTTCCAGAAAAGGGACAGAGAACTCCTGTGTTCCATTCCCAGCTCGACCGCTGGCTCGCTGTGTGGCCTTGGGCAAGTCACTTAACCTCTCTGTGCCTCAGTTTCCCCATCTGTAAAATGGGGGTAATAATACTGACCTACCTCACAGGGGTGTTGTGAGGCTTTACCTAAACGTTGTGCGAAGTGTGTCGAGATACCGAGGCAAAGGCACTAGGGAAGAGCGACGTAGTACTTGGACGTAAGGAAGACGCGATGGTACCATAAATGCTGCTATTCTGAGAGCCATTCTAAACTGCACTGCTCCAGCCACTCCCGCTTCTCATCACCAGGACAGCAGGTCGAGAAAATACCTTTCCTTTCCCTTGCTTCTGGGGTTTGTGGTTATCCTGAACACTTAATTTTCCCCCCTTGCTGTATCTCCTTCCCTCACCGCCTCAACTCGTCCCCGGTTCCGTTCACGCGGAAATGGCAGAACTGCTTGAGAAATGAGAATGTGTCAGTGGGTTGGAAGTTTATAGTCTGAAATTTCAATTTTACTTTGTACTGTACATCTTTTTACTTTAGAATTTGCAATAAAGGGTTACGTCAATCTTGTTTTCAACTCTCCTCTTGGCCTGGCCTGTCATTCTGTCCTGGCTCTCACACCAAAACCCCTCCGCCCAGGGTGGATGGGGGGTCTCCGCACTCCCCCCCAGCGGGACCCCACACCTTCTCCTGGGACGGGAGAGGCTGGGGGAGGGGACATTATCTGAGCAGTCTGCGTGAGGGCTCCCCCAGCCTCGGGTGCTTGGTCTGGCAGTGGCCAGGCATTCAGGGGGGTGGGATCGGCGTGGGGCTCTTGGTAGGCCTTCAGGAGGCCTTGCCAGAATGAGGAGAGGAGCTGGGAGGCCTCAGACCCTGGGAGTGGGCGCACCTGTGGCTGGTGCTCGATGAATGGTAGCTCTTAGCGGAAGAATGCGTTCACAGTAAGGAACTGAGGCTGACAGGCATCGGCAGGGCCTGCCCCCCCCCCCCCCCCCCGTCCCTGAACATGCCATTTTCAACGAACTAAAAAAAACAACCGATCGCTCCCTCCTTCGCGAGTTTTGTAACTTTTATAATACATCACGGGGAGCCCTGCCCCAAAACTGTGCCCACTTCACATGTGGGGGCACCGGGGAGAGGGAGGACCCAGCCCGTGGGCAGCCCAGGCCCAGGCCTCCGGCTGCACCAGCTGCTCTTCAGTCAGGAGCGGCTTTGCCTCCCGCCGGCCGTGCGCCTCCCCGGGCCTGGGCCGCACCGCATCCCCATCGCCGTCGCCGTCGCCGCCCGTGACCCACAGCGTGAGCAGGACGAGCAGCGCCCCGGCGCCCAGCGACCCCACGAAGCCGGCGCAGAAGCCGAGCGCCAGCGGCCCGGCCCAGCCTGCGGGGCTGCGCTCGTACGGGGCCTGCGGCAGCCGCTCCACGATCAGCTCCAGCGCGTCCCAGTTGGGCTGGGCGGCCGGGGCGCGGCGGGAGCGCGGGGCCGGGGCCGGGGCGGGGGCGGGGGCCGGGGCCGGGGCCGGGGCCGGGGCCGGGGCCGGGGCGGGGGCCGGGGCCGGGGCCCGGGCGGGGGCCGGGGCCGGGGCGGGGGCGGGGGCCGGGGCCGGGGCCGGGGCGGGGGGCGCGCCGGGCGGCAGGTAGCGCTGCCCGGCCTGGCGCAGCTGCAGCGTCGCCCGCTGGTGGAGGTTCTTGCCCAGCTCCCGGGCCACGTCGGGGCGGCCGCAGCGCCGCAGGGCCCGGGCCACGCGGTCCCAGGGCAGGGCCGGGGCCTCGGCGGCCAGCCAGGCCGCCAGCCGCTCCCGGCAGCCGTCGGAGACCTCGGAGTCGGTGGCCTCCCGCCGCGGCCGCCGCCGGCCCGGCGCCCCCGACGCGGGCCCCGACGGTTCGGCCCGGGCCAACCGATCCTCCGAGAGCCTGGCCAGCTCCTCCTCCACGTCCGGGTCCGGCGCCTTCAGGAGCGACTGGAAATGGCCGCACTCCTCCGGGGTCAGCAGCTCGGCCAGGCGGACGGCTGTGTGCGGCCCCATGGCGTCCAAGGCCCCCGCCAGGGCCAGCGCCGCGGCCCAGAGCGCCGCGCCCAGCGCCCCGCCCGCAGCCGGAGCCGCCATGGCCGCGGGCGGCGACGAGGGGCTCCGAACGCGCACGAGAGGGGAGGGGAGGGGAGGGGAGGGGAAGGGAGGGGAGGGGAGGGGAGGGGAGGGGAGGGGAGGGGAGGGGAGGGGAGGGGAGGGGAGGGGAGGGGAGGGGAGGGGAGGGGAGGGGAGGGGAGGGGAGGAGACAGGCGGGGAGGGGAGGGGAGGGGAGGGGAGGGGAGGGGAGGGGAGGGGCGCTAACACGCAAGGGTGACGGGAAGGGGAGGCTTCCACATTCAGCCACGGGGGCGAGGGAGCCCAGCAGCCCAGGACCTGGAAGGGGACTTCCGATACAGGGACTGGTTGGAGGGCCATCTCCCAGCACACAGGAATTTAGACGGAGCGTCTTGCCGAAACCGGTTTGGCTCAGTGGATGGAGCATTGGTCTGCGGACTGAAAGGTCCCAGGTTTGATTATGGTCAAGGGCATGTGCCTTGGTTGCGGGCACATCCCCAGTAGGAGATGTACAGGACGCTGCTGATCAATGTTTCTATCTCTCTCTCCCTCTTTTTTTCCTCTGTAAAAAATCAATCAATAAAATAAAATAAAATAAAAAAACTCGGAGGGTCTTACATCTAAGAACTGGGAGTCCCCAGCACCCCAGGCTGGGAGGGGCTGCCCCACTGAGGCCTCAACTTTAAAACGGCCCTGGCATCTCTTCTAACCCTAACCCTGCCCCTCCTCATCCTTCACCAGAAGCCCTGGACCCCTAGCTCTTTCTCCATTCTCTCTGATGTCCAATCAATACCTGAACTCTCTGCCTTCCTGCTAAATACTACCCATTTCTAGACTGCCATTTCCCATCCCGACATGGGCAGCCAAACCTTCCCTCAGGCTTGTCTGGGTGAGGCAAGCTCCTCCTCCAGCCCCGCCTCCCTCCACACCCACCGGCTCCCCTCACTACCTGTTCGGTCTCCAGCCAATGGCCGGGCTCCTTTGCATCTTGGCTGCACTCTGCTCTGCCTGGCTCACTCCTCAGTTGGCAGGTCTCTTCCGGAAAGCCCTCCCTGACTCCTCCTATCTACTCCTAAAGCTCTGCCCTTTCATTGTCTCCCCCATCAGGCTATAAAGTCCATCTACTGTCCCCATAGCAACCAGTGCATCCTTTGGTCAAGATTTTTTTTTTTTAATATATTTTATTGATTTTGTATAGAGAGCTAGAAACATCGATGAGAGAGAGAGTCATCGACCAGCTGCCTCTTGCACACCCCCTACTGGGGATATGCCCGCAACCAAGGTACATGCCCTTGACCGGAATCGAACCCGGGACCTTTCAGTCCCCAAGCCGACGCTCTATCCATTGAGCCAAACCAGTCTTGGCATGGTCAAGATTTCTTGAATCAGTGTGGGCATTAACTTTCAAATCAGTTGTGTCCCACCCACCCACCCAAACATACATATCATTCATCGTGGAGCCTCCACAGGGCGTGGGAGGACCTCCTGGGGCCCTGGCTGTGTCCCACCTCCCCCAGCCTCACTGCTCCGGTCCTTTTTTCGCTCTTAGAGCAAATCACATGGAGGGTGCTGTTGCCAGCCTCCATTCTTAGTGGCTGTACCTACTACTGTCCAGGAAGTGTTTCTGACACCCCATTGTGAGTCAGGGTCTTTTCTGGGCACTCTTGTTTGTTTCATTAATCCTCACCAGAGGATATTTTTTTCCATTGATTTTTTTTTTGAGAGAGTGGAAGGGAGGGGAGAGAGAGAAGCATCCATGTGACAAAGACACATCGATTGCTCCTTCCTGGTTGTTTCAGTCTCCCCGTTTATGCAGAGTTGTCAGGTAGTTTGGGGATTGGTTACTGGTGGCGGATAAAGGATCTTGGGACCTTAAGACTAGAATTCCTCTATCTCCACACTCTGCCCACTTTCCCTCCATACACTCATTTATTCCTTCATTCCTTCATTCAGCAAACATGTAAGCCTTTCTTTGTCGTTCCCCCCTCCCCTCCCATACCTCAGAGCTCGGGGATACGAGTCTGCCCCAATGCAGAGCCTCTGAGAGCTCAGAATAGCATGAGAGCCTTCCCTCCCCAGGGCTTTTCGGAGCCTGAGACTATGGCCTCTCATCTGGTGGCTGCAGCGCCCAGCGCCTGTGGGCCCTGCTTGTGCCAGACTGAACAGCAGGGGCTCCACAGTCATGTTTTGCTGAAGGAATAGTAACACCCACAGCACCACACCCATTCCCCAGAGGGCTCCCCACATCTCACTACCCCCCCACACACAAGAAATCCTCCGGAAACCACATGTCATCGCTTTAATACTGTGTAATACTTTCTTTTAAAATACAGTCTCTTCTGAGGTAGACAGACCACAACTCAGAGCATCTTCAGACAGGAGATAAATACGTCCATGTATACAACACACAGCAACATGAGGTAGAAGTGGTTACAGCTGGAGGAGAGGACCCCAACCCCAACCTGGGTGGAGGAAGGGGAGGGCCAGCCTGCTGTGTCTGTCCTCCCCCAGCCCCTGCCCCTGGATTCTTTGGTATGCCCCCCCCCAACATCGCCAGAGTTGGACCTGCCCTTCCCCCACCCAACCTAGTGCCCATGAGGTAGGTGCTAGCAGATTAGGGGATGTCTCCTTGTGCAAAGTTCCCCAAGGCCAGTAGGAGAGGTGGGGGGGGGGGGGTGTCTCAATCAATGAGGCCCCCCCAATCCCCAGAGCCGCCTGCCTCTTGAAGGGAAGGGAGGGACCCCCACCCACTTCCCTGATGCCCTCCCCCCATATACATACACACACCTGAGAACCTCACTCCTGGCTCCTGCAGCCCACCCGCTGCTTCTGAGGCAGCAGGCCTGCAAACAGCTGGCTCCACGGAGAGGTTGGCCAGAAAGAGACCAGGGTGAGAGGGCAGCACAGAGCAGCTCTCCTGGCCGCTCTGCGAGGCCAGTGCAGCCCTCCGCACCTCGGCACCCAGACGCCCCCCCTGCACCTCGGCACCCGGACGCCCCCCCTGCACACCTCCCAGCTGGGAGGGGGTGGTAGCAGCTGTGAGGGCAGGCAGGGATGGGGAGGGAGGCTGGGGTGGGAGAGAAGGGGTGAGGGCATGTTCCCCCCAGCTTTGGACCGAAGGCCCGAGTGGTGAAATGGGCTCCGGAGGGGGAGGTGGCAAAGGGCTGACGCCCCGTCCAGAGAAGCTGGTAGGAAGAGGAGGAACACGGTTCCCAGAGAAAGCCCAAGCCTGGGCCTCTGGTGGGAAGTGTGGGTGTGACTGAGAATAGACCCCCAACGTCAGAATAAAGCAGCCTGCCCCCTCCCACTGCCTGCCCTCCAGGCCTGGGACCCTAGGAGAATGAGAAAAGAATACTTCCCCACAGGACCTCTCCTGCTCACCCCTCAGAGCCTCCGAGCAGACAGGGAAGGTTGGGTCTGTAGTCAGTTTTGTGCCCAACAGGACTTGTGGCCAAACCGTCTCTCCCTGCAGAGCAATCCCCGTGGCCTGCACACAGGAGGCCTCTGGCTGGTCAGTCAATGGCCAGGTGAGCTGACCTCTCTGAGGACTTTCTGTTTCTGTCCCCCCATCCCCCATTGGGGCAGGAAGTGGGCGAGTTAACCCTTCATAGAAAGCACTGAGCTGAGGGCCGGACCCAGCTGGATGAGTAGCAGAAAGGGGACAAGACTCACCTGCTCTCAAATCCCACAACCCGCTCCCAACACCCCTGTCTACAACCCTGGGCCGGGCAGGAAGCCTACAAGTACATTCTGCTTCCGTCTGCCCCAGGAGGAGCAGGGTCTGCGTGTGGCTCTGGTCCCCCTCGCCCCTTCCCCACCACAGTCTCACTTTCTACGTCTCCTGAGGGGTAGGGTGGGTGGTGGGATCGCACAGGAGAGTAGCCTGAGTCTAACATTCTTTCTGAGGTCAGTTTCTTCCTGAGTTGTCAAAAGAAAAAGAAAAACAGCAAGTTCTACACATCTTACAAAAATAAGAGGCCTACATATTAAACAAGCTACATTCCTGGGATTTCCCCCTCAAAAACAAACGACGACGACGACAAACCCTTCTTTGGGTGACTTTTGCTTGACACCTCCCCCAGACCCAAGGTTCCCGCTGGGTGACAGGGTGGGAGGGAACTCCCCCTCCCCTCCTCCTCAGCCGCTGGGCCTCCAGACCTCCTGCAAAGGGACGGCGCAGTCTCTGAGTGAGAGGGGCAGAAGGCAGGGAGAAGGACAAGAGGCACGGAAGCTAGAGAGCAAGGGATGGAGACAGAGCAGAGGGTGATAGATGGAGATAGGGAGGGAGGAGCAAAAGAGAAACTGGGCCAGGATGGGAGTTGGGGGGGGGGGCAGGATGAGGGGTTTGGGGGGGGGTAGTGACAATAAGGCAGAGAGAGAAAACTTAAGCGAAAGCAAAGAAAGAGGGGAGAGTGAGGGGAGGAGGAGGAGGAGAGAAGGAGGAGGGGGAGAGGAAGGGGGAGGAAGGGGGAAGGAGAAGAAGGAGGAGGAGGGAGGCGTCCAGAGAGCCAGGAGACAGAAGAATTGTGGTGAGAGCAAGCGCAAGAGTTCCTTAGGCCCCAGGCAGACACGCCCGTCCAGGGGCTGAGATGGCGAGCTTCCCGTCCACAATAAATAGAAAAAAACCTGAGTACACAGCGCATATGGCATCTATCTGCCTAGCAGAAGCGTTTTCCTTCTCACGAAAAAAAAAAAAAAAAAAAATCCACCCACAGCCCCGTTTCCTCCCTCCCCACATTCATCACTCGGCAGCGCCCTCCCAGCCAGGTGGGCCCAGACACCCCTCCCGGGGCCGGGGAGCGGGGGGCGGCGGCTCCCGCGCCGTCAGTGTCCGAAGCCGTACATTTTGTCCCACTCCGCGTACGAGTCCAGGTCCTCGGGGGTGGCGCGGGGGCCCACCTTGGCCAGGGCCGCCTCCAGGTCCTTGTAGGAGAGCGGGCGCTGCAGCCCCGGCAGGCCCGCCGCGGCCGCCGCCTGCTGGCACAGCTGCCCCAGCTCGCCCCCGGAGAAGCCCTGCGTGCCCTGCACCAGCGCCGCCAGCTCCCGCTCGCCCAGCGCGCAGCCCTGCCGGGCCAGCGCCCGCTGCAGGATCTGCCCGCGGGCCGCGCCGTCGGGCAGCGCCACGTAGAAGCGGAGCACGAAGCGCCGGCGGGTGGCCTCGTCCAGGGCCGCGGGCCGCGAGGTGGTGCCCACCACCAGCACGCCGTCGGCCCCCGCGCCGCAGCCGCCGTCCAGGCAGGCCAGGAGCGGCGCGAGCAGCGAGCCCGCGGCGGCGCCGTCCTCCCGCGGCGGCGGCGGCGGCGGCAGCGCGTCCAGCTCGCTGATGAGCAGCACGGCGGGCGGGCGGCGGCGCGCGGCCGCGAAGGCCGCCTGCAGGAGGCGCGCGCCCTCGGCGGCCCCCGGAGCGGCCAGCGCGGCGGCGCGCAGGCGCAGCAGCGAGGCCCCCAGCTGCGTGGCCAGGCAGCGGCCCAGCAGCGCCTTGCCCGCCCCGCGCGGCCCGAAGAGCAGCACGGTCCGCGGCGGGCGCGGGCCGCCGGGGTAGGCGGGCGGCCTGAGCAGCGGCCACACCAGCTCCTCCTCCAGCGCCGCCTTGAGCGCGCCGTGGCCCGCCACGTCCGCCCACTGCACCGGGGGCCCGCGGTCCAGCATCTTGCTCGTCGCCAGCTCCAGCGCCGCCGGGTCCACCGCCTTGAGGGGCTCCTCCGCCGGCAGCGCGAAGGCCGCCCGGGGAGCCGGCGCGGGCGCGCGCTCCGGGAACTTCTCGAAGGGCTCGAGCGGCGGCCCGTAGCCCGGGGAGCCCAGCGCCTTGAGCGGGACGCCTGCGGCGAACTTGCCCGCCGCCTCCTCCGCCGCCGCCCCCGGCGGCTTCGCCCGGAACCCGTTGCCCCGGCCGTCGCCGTGGTCCGCGGCGGGGTAGGCGGCGCCGTCGGCCGCCGGGGCCTTGGGGGGCTCGTAGACGTACTTGCGGTAGCGGCCCTCCGCGCCCTCGTCCGCGGCCTTGCGCTTCAGCGACACCCCGGCCTCGGCCCCCGGCGCGGCGGCCTGGAAGCCGTAGGCGGCGGGCGCGGGCAGCGGCGTGGGCGCCGCCAGCCCCGAGGGCAGGTAGGGGGCGGGCGGCGGGGCCCCGTAGCCCGGCTGCGCGGCGTAGCCCCCCGCGGGGTAGTTGTACAGCGGCCCCGGGGCGCCGTAGCCGGGCGGCGGGGGCTGCAGCAGCGCGGCCGGGGGCGGCGGGGGCAGCGCGGGGCCGGTTTGCGCGCAGTAGCCGGGGGCCAGGTACCCGCCGCCGTAGCCGGCCGCGTACTCCGGCGCCGCCGCCGCCGGGCCCCCGCACGCATTGCCGGCGGCGTACAGGGGTTCAGGCAGGTTCCCGGCTAGAACCGGGGAGCCCCCGAGGCCCCCCGAGCCGCCCCCACCGCCCGGCTTGGTTCCGGGGAGGCCGTCGTGGAGCGAGGCCAGGGGGTAGTGTGGCTCCGGCCCCGGCCAGGGCTCGGGGTCCCCTTTGGCGCCGTTGAGAAAGGCGGCGTCGCCGTAGCCGCCCAGCGCGGGGCGCTCGTAGGGCGAGTCCAGGGCCCCCGAGTACTTCTCGGCGTAGCGCTTGAGCAGGTTGGAGGCCGTGAGCGCCGAGATGTCGTCGTGCGCCCAAGCGTAGTGGCAGCGCTGGCGACCGCCGCCAGGGGGCAGCTCCAACTTGTGGGCCGGCGACGGCGTGGTGGAGGAGACGTCCAGGTGCTGCTCCGGCCACTGGTTGAGAGGCTGGGCGTGTTCCGGTGTCCAGTGCATCTTCAACAGAGCTGCAAAGAGAGGTGGCTCTGAGCTCCTTCTGGGTGGACCTCCCTGCCCACCGACCTCCCTGCCCACCGACCTCCCTGCCCGCCACTGAGACTGCAGCTCTGGCCCGGCTGGTTCTCCGGCACCCACCACCCTCCTGGGAACCTTCTCCAGCACCAAGTACACAGTACAGCAGGCATGTCAAACTGGGCCCTTGGGCTGCATGTGGCGCACAATGAATATGTTTTCGGCCCAGCCAATATAACGGTATGGAAGAAACATTTTAATAATTTCATAATCTTCCACACACACCATGCACATCTATTGTCGCATATCAACTCTGGTCGCCCAGTTTTAAAATTAGACTTGTTACTGACATCTCTGGGTTTGTAAAGAAAATTATGGTAACTTAAATTCATAAATATTCCAGCGCATATGGAAGATAATCCAATATCATCCGGTTTTGAATGTATAAAGCAGCTAACTGGTTAATTTTTATGATATCCTGTTATAATTATTAATAACGAACTACAACGTTCACTAATGACTGATTACTATAATCGTGTTGCATTCATTTCCCATATGTGCTTTACCACAGGCTCACCATTTCTCTCCACTAATACTAGCAGCGAATATTTTAGCAGCCGATTACCACATAATTAGTCTTGAACTGACTTGTTTAGCGTGCACAACAGGAAATACTTCGCTTTCAGAGAACAGTGGGTTTATTTGCATTATGTTTATTAATTTGTGCAGTTATTCAGTTTCTGTTAATGTTCAAGAAAAAATATTAATTTTTATTAAAATGTTCTATTTTATGTTAACGATTACTCATTTATTTCAGCCCTTGTATTCAGCATGTTTCTACTGAAATAAATCTATGAAAACTGAAGTTTTGCTTTTGTTTTTGTTTTTTTGCAGCCCACAAAAACCTTTTTTATTTGACCCTGTTAGCCTTTGAGTTTGACATGGTTGCAGTACAGGATCTACCCCTCTTGTCCAGGTTAAAGTTATCTGAGAATACTTCCCTCAGAATAAGAGGGATCTGAAAAAGACATGCTGGGCCCTAACTTCACCTTTTTTTATATTTAATTTATTGGGGTGACATTGGTCAACTTGATATAGGTTTCAGGTGTAGGTTTCTACCTAGTATGTTGTAAGATCTGTGTATTGCACCATGTACCCACCACCCAAAGTCAGATCTCCTGTACCACATATTGGGGCTGCCTTCTCCCCCCACCCCTTCCCTCTGGCAACCAACTAACTTCATCTTACAGGCAATGAGCACTATTTTATCCTGGCCACCCCAGCCCTGACCTCTAGGACACACGGGTCCTGCCTTCCAGACCTAATGTAGTGAAGGGATAACCTCCTAGCCCTGGGAAGAGCCAAGCCCAAGTGGGGATCGTTCAGTAACTGCTGCTTGTTGCACACCCGCCATGTGCTAGGGAGGCACTAAGGAGCCACTGAGCTTGTGTAATGAGAGGCCTACCCACTGACTGATGGCCCAACAGTGTGATTGTCTTACGTGCTCTGTTCACCTCCATCATCCTAGAGACTCCAGGGCCCCTTTGGGACCTGAAGTGAGGGACATAGATGTCTTTGGCAGTTCTGCACCGTCCCTGGGAAATCCCAGAGGCTGATCTGGAAGCATTCACTTCCTTTCCACTTGGTTCCTTTTAGTCTCTGCCTGATAAGGTCAGAGCACATGGGTTCCAGACCCAATTCTGCACGTGATGGCTGTGTGCCCAGGGCAAGTGTTGCCATCTGTCTGGTTCCCAAAATAATGTTCATCACGAGAGGACATTTAGAATAGATAAATCATATCCTAGGGGAGCTGGGGGAAAGTTAGTTTGCAGCATTACAGTTAAGTGTACATCTCAGCTTCCCAGTAACCAAATAACTCACTTTGCAAAGTAAAAAACACTGCCATACTCAAAATGTTCCTAGCATAGAGATCACAGGGCTTATTTTTCATGGACCTCAGGAAGCAAGCCTGTGAGTTGTAATAATGTCCTCTTAGCCATGCCACACAGAAATATTAATGGCTGTTTCTCCCACTCCCTCAGCACCAGTCAAGGCATGAGCCAAACCGAAGTCAGGCCACTCAGGGCCTGGGGATGAGCACTCTCTGGACACATGGCGCCAATGAGTTAGCCTGATCCGAGGGTAGAATCTCAAACACTAAATGGCATACTAGAGAGAGTTTTGGTGATCAGTATTTCTCAAACCTAAGCTTTCAATAAGATAAGTTAACCTTACAGTTTCCATATTCTTTCTTCAACAAATACTAAATGTTATGCTGGGGGAAGAGGAGCAGATTGCAAAGTGAATGATGGTTCAGCCAGATGTGGAGACAGAGAGACATCTTTTGTGAGGTGGGAAGATACAGGTGTGTCCCAAAAGCTCTGGGGCTCAAGGGAACATGCTGCACCTGATGGAGAAGGCTTCACGAAGGAGGTGGTGTCTTTACCGGACTTTGAAAGGTGAGGGACCAAGTTGACCAGACAGGCTAGAGGGTTCCAACACCTTTAAAGGTACAGAGCACAGTGTATTCAGAAAGGCGGGCCTGGGTTAACTCATAGGCCCTAGTCCCTTTCTCAAGACAATTTATTGCCACATTCTTGAAAATTGTCATAATAAATCTACATATCTACTATGTCTATGATGTGAATCATGCACCTTAAGAAATAGGGCTTCAAGCAAACAAACTAACTAACAAAAAGACCCCAAACAGCCACAGCAATCTTGTAAAAGAAGAACAAAGTTGGAGGGATCACAATACTGGTTATTAAACTATACTACAAAGCCATTGTAATCAAAACAGTCTGTTACTGGCATAAGAACAGGCATATAGACCAATGGGGCAGATCAGAGTCCACAGAAATTGACCCACACCATTGCTCTCACTATTTGACAAGGAAAGTAAAAACATACAATGGCATAGACAATCTTGCAACAAATGGTTTTGGGAAAACTGGACACGCACATGCACAAAAGATGAAACTAGACCACCAACTTACACCAGATACAAGGTAAGTTCAGTATGTACGTCATGAAACCATGAAAATCCTAGAAAAAAACGTAGGCAGTAAAAACTCAGATATCTCACATAGCAGAATTTTTACTGATACATCTCCAAGGGTAAGAGAAACGAAAAACTAAACAAATGGGACTACATCAAACTGAAAAGCTTCTGCACAGCAAAAGAAACCACCATTAAAATGAAAAGAGAACCCACTGTATGGGAGAACATATTTGCCAGTGATACACCTGATAAGGGGTTAATATCCAAATACATAAAGAATTCTTGCTAGTCAACAATTTAAAAATGGGCAAAGGACCTGAACAGACAATTTTCCAAAGAGGACATACAGATGGCCAATAGATGGCCATTACAGTATGAAAAAATGCTCAGTCACTAATGATCAGAAATGCAAATTAAAACCACAATGAGATATCACCTCACACCTGTCAGAATGGTTACCATCCTATCCTATATAATAAAAGGCTAATATGCAAATAAACCAAATGGCAGAATAACCAGTCCCTATGACTTGCGCTGACCACCAGGGGAACATGGCGGTTGGCAGTAGCAGGTGGCAGAGCGTGAAACATGGTGGGCATCAGCCGTGGCGGATGGTAGAGCAGGTGAGCAAGGGTTGCCAGACTAAGGTGAGGTACCGGTCGCTGTCTTTGGAGCCAGCATCTGGTGGTTACTGAGGATTCTTTACTCCCGCACACCATAATCCCACCCAGCGCTTGCACCTGCTGCCACCCACTGCCAGCGCCTGGCACTACCCCAATCACTCAGTGCCATCAGTGGGTGCGAGTGTCAGCTGTTGGCCCCGGTTGCCCCTCAGGGCTTCTCCACCTTCCCCTGCTCCTGAGGGACGATCAGGGCAGCAGCCACTGCTGGCACCAGCCCCCAAAGCTCCATGCCATCAGCGGGTTTGAGCAGTGGCAGTGGGAGAAAGGCTGCCAGGTGATGGGACCATGCCAGGTGGGGGTGCATAGAATGGGCTGAGACCCACCTCTGTGTCTACTGCAGCCTTGCAGCCCACAATTCCTTTCAAGGTGCACGAATTCGTGCACTGGGCCCCTACTCAATAAATAAACATGTGCACAGGTTGTGGGCTCAATCCCCAATGGGGGAGTGTGAGGGAGGCAGCTGATCAATGATTCTCTCTCATCATTGATATTTGTCTCTCCCTCTCTCTTCCTCTCTGAAATCAATAAAAAAAATTTTTTTTAAAGCTGTGGTACATTTACATAATGGAATACTATGCAGCTATAAAAAAGGATCGCTTACCCCTTGAGACACGATGGACCTGGAGAGCATTGTGCTAAGTGAAATAAGCCAGTCAGAGAAAGACAAGGATCACATGATCTCACTCATATATGGAATCTAAAATAGATCCAGAGAGACATAGAAGCATGGAACAGACTGTGGGATCTCAGAGGGAAGGTGGAGGGTGGGAAGAGATTAACCAAAGAACTTGTAAGCATATATGCATACCCCATAGATACAGACAATAGAGTGGTGAAGGCCTGAGGCAGGGGCTGAGGGTGGGCTAGAAGGGGTCAAAGGGGGGGAAGCGGGGGGATATATGTAATACTTTCAACAATAAATATCTTTTTTAAATAGTGTGGTGAAGGCGTACGTGGGGGGCAGGGGCTGAGCAGAGGGGGCTACTGGGGTATATCTCTAATACTGTCAACAATAATATATATATATATATATATATATATATATATATATATATATATATGAAACAGTGCTCATGTGCAGTGAGCAACCTACATAATCATACACTGCAAGCCTAGAAGGAGCACCAAGAAATATCACATCACCAAAGGCGTGGAGGAGGCAGGTGTATGGAGGGGCCGTGGTAGAAGAAGGTGAAAATAAGCAAGTGGCTTCTCGGGTTCTCTTCAGCTGCCCGTGCGTACAGCCAGCCGTTTGTTGACAGCACCACCTCCAAAGGCAGTGGCCTGACACCAAAGGGAGA